ATCAAGGGTCAAGAATCATAAGGTACAACACTTAGTAATAGCCATAGGGTAGAATAGGAATAGGAATAGGATAGGATAGGATAGAATAGAATAGAACAGGACAGGACACGACACGACACGACAGAACAGAATAGGAGATTAGAATAAAGAATAGAATAGAGAATAGAACAGAATAATAATGGAATGGAATAGAATAACTTTATGGTCACTTTGTACACAAATCAACGTACATTAAAATGAAATTTCATTGCCTACAGCTCTCAAAGAGCCGCACCTCCAATATACACTACATAAACATGACAAAATAAATTACACACATGCATACATAGGCCTACAAAATTATGCATCTACTCCCATATATCCTATGACACAAGACAAACAGCCTAGTCTGTACACGGTGAGAAAAAACGAATCTTGTTTAGTTTCCCCGACAAAAACCCGCAAACTTAAGAGACGGGACGGCCTGGGAATGAGCTCTTCTTGGGCCGCAGCCTTAGCTCAGCCTCGTCATGAACGTCTCCATCGCAGCCTAGCGGTTACAGCCTAGCTGTCCGGATTCCGGCGATTGCCCTAATTAACGCATGAGCCTCGAGCCAAGCTTCAAAAGAAACCCAAAGGTTTATTTATTAAGAGCAACATGCCCGGCATTAACATGTATGAAGCCAACTCTGCCATACCTAATTCACAGTCCCCTCTGACCCCGTTTCCCTCCTTCCCCCTGGGTGTGTCATAAATCACATTCTCCAACAAAGCACGTTCACAGGCTGGGCGTGTCATCAATCACGTTCTCCAACTAAGGATTTTCGTGGGAAGAAGATCCGGTAGGTTAGCTACAATCGTCGTTAAGATAAGTGTCGGGATGTACTTCTGGTTTTAAACTTCCGCCTTGGTCCTTCAGGTTTCCTCCCGCTCCCGTCTGCTTATGGCAACTCGAAAAACAGGCCTAGGGATGCCGTACGAGTTGACACCAACTGACTCTTATCTCCCCCCCCCGCCTTCTCCCCCATTCCAGGTTACCTGCTCATGACCGACGAGTGGTTCTCCGAGTTCGTGTACGAAGTGGTCACCGACCGCAAACACGTGCCAGAGGAAGTCCTGGAGGTCTTACAACAAGAGCCCATTCGCCTGCCTGCCTGGGATCCCATGGGGGCTCTGGCCCACTGAGCAGTCGGGACAAGGAGGGGACGACCCCCCCACCCCCTCTCCTGGGTCAACTCCAAGCCGGTGGGAGACCCGGGGGTCTGCGGCCGAGCCCTCCCAGGGGGAGGGGGGACCGAGTGTCCCAACTAGAGGTGCTAACATTCACACACACACACGTACACACACACCCCTCCCCATCCTTCGGAAGGCACTGTCCATCTCTGGCCATTGGTGGGGGGGGGTTGGTCATCCCCCACTTTCCCCCTTTCATCGGTGTCTCTGCTTTTCATCGTAACACAGTGCCACATTTCTTTCTTTTTTAAAAAAAATATGGCTTCTTAAAAAACTCATCATAATGCACTCATTTGGAAGCGGAGAAGGGATTCTTTTGAACGAGGTGTATGCAGAATATATATATATATATATATAGAGAGAGAGAGATTTTAGGATTTGTTTGTAGGCTGGAAATGGAGGGTCACATCGAGGGAAGAAGATATCGGGGCGATGTGGATAACTGGAAATTACCCAGTAAATTTTCTTACCCTGCCCATCTTTTCCAGACTGGTTTTCTGCAACCTGGTGAGGCCTTCGCCACAAAAGAATATATATATATATATAAGCAAAATATATTTAATGCTTATAAGGACCTCCGGAGCCGTTAACTGGACAGTCCGTGATGCGTCTCACCCGGAGGGCACCAGGTTGGAGAAGATGGTTTCGTTTCTTTTCTCTTCTCTTCTCTTTTTTTTGGGGGGGTGGGCTTTGTTCAACAGGATTCCAGTTTGGGTGGGTTCTCCCCTTCCCCACGTGGGAGGCAGAGCGAACAATCGTTGTAAACAGGCCGGCGACGACACACACACACAGAGCGAAAGGGAAACATTGGGGAAAAAATAATAGTAAATAATAATAAACCGCATTTCGTATGCCCTCAACCACTCTTATGGTGCTATGAAGTATTTTAATTAAAACACTTGCCTGAACGACATTTTGGTCTCCTGGCTTGATCTTAGGGACTAGCGCCTTGCAAAGGAAGACGGACATGGCCATGAATGGGATTGGATTGGATTTTCTTTTTCTTTGTTTCAATGTTTTTTTTGGCCAAGTTTCTGAAAATTCCTGCCTCCAAATTAAGGAAAGAGAACGCGGGTGAATAAAGAAGGGATTAAAAACAGGCTTTTTTTTGCCGGTCCATAAAAAGGCTGCGCCGCAATTTGGGGCACAGGTAGTCCTTGACTTAACGGCTATTTGTTTAGTGAACAGTTATAACGGCACTGTGACAAGTGACTTCTGTCCATTATTCACACAACCACTGCGGCATTTCCCAGGGTCACGTGATCAGAATTCACACACTTGGCAACTGACTCGTTTTTTTTGACAGTCGCAGTGTGTGCCGGGGTCACGTAATTCCCTTTTGCGACCTTCTGACGAGCAAAGTCAATAGGGGAAGCCGGATTCACTTAACAACGATCGCTGTCGCTTGAGGATTAGACCGAAGTCACCAAGCCGGCTTTCCTACCTGAGGAAGGACTAGAATTCCCTACCACCTGGTGATTGGCTCAAACTCATCCAATTGGCTTCCATGCCTAAGGCGGGGCTAGAACTCCCCGTCTCCTGTTGATTGGCTCAAAGTCATCCAATTGGCTTTCACGCCTAAGGCGGGACTAGAAATCCCTGTCTCCTGGTAATTGGCCTGAAGTCATCCAATTTGCTTTCACGCCTAAGGCGGGACTAGAATTCATCGTCTCCTAATTGGCCCGAAGTCATTCAATTGGCTTTCACACCTAAGGCGGGACTAGAACTCCCCATCTCCTAGTGATTGGCCCAAAGTCATCCAATTGGCTT